TATAAAATGAAACGGCGGACAGTGATCCAATTTTAGAAATCAGGAAATGTTCCATGTTAGTGACATGGCCTAACGAGTCCCCCCCCTTCCCCCACAGATTGTGTCTAAAATTGGATCCCCATCTGCTGTTTTCATATGGGTGTTTTCTTACTTTTGAGACACGCTGTCTGATCAATATAACCGATAATTGCATCTTTTTATGGAAAATATCCTGCTTTTAGATGTCATGCAGGTCTAGTCTCTTGTCACACTAAGCACTATTCGTCATATCAAAGGCAAAATTCTTGTTTTCCTGTAATCTTCCCTGAACAACTTAATACTAATTTCTAAATAGTGTTGCACCGATACTGTATCGGTGCCGATCCTGGCTCTTAAACACTGTATCTGTGATGGGGATACCAACATCTATGACTGACACCACTAAGAAATTTCTGACGCGTCCTTATGCGCCAGTAGACAGAACTTAACAACATGACGGTGGTGTGGGATGACAAGCAGCAGTAAAAATACTCACAGCAAAATCTGTAACCGCAGTTTTTGGTGTGAAGAACACACTAACAGAGCCACTTATCTGAACGTCAGAGCTGCTTCTTCCAGTAATCACTCGTCTGTCGCTGTGTGGTCACTTACAGTCTGAGTTCATTTTATCGAGAGAGCATAAGGACCCACCGGACTCTGTGTCATGATGGCCTTTAGTCTCGATTTAGCCTTTAGCACAGCAGCCTGCTAGCTGGGCCTGTGTGTCCACTAGTACCGCCTGTGGCTCCAGATAAGCTGCTGTGTGCTGATGTGTAAGCATCACAGATTTATCTGTATATTGTTCAGTTCTGTTATGAACTGTTTTGCACAATAAAGATATTTTACATATACTTACAGTTGTTAAACATGGTTCTTATTACTAATTATATAATAGTGAATATTGAATATATACATTAAACAAACATAAATAGGTTTTCTTAAGCATCTAATAAATATAATCCAACAAGTAAATGCCATCTGGCTAAGCTGAGTGTGTTTTTTATTTGTGATCCAGAATATAGATTTTACCAAAATAAAATACTTAAAAATATAATGTTTAAATATCACGTGGTACACACATATGGTATCGGCCAATACTAAAGGATCAGGTAGCTATATCGAAGGGGAAAAACTGGTATCGGTGCATCTCTACTTCTAAAACTCTTGTACCGGGGAAAAAAAAAAATTAAACGTTAATATCATGTTTCATCTCCCTCTCTCACCACCTCGCTTATCATCAGCTAGATCAGAGACACCACGTTTCATTTGGAAAAAGCACAATTACTTCAGATACACATTGACTAAATTGGACTTTTCTTTCAATTATCTTGGACTTAAAAGGGTTTTTAAATGGGTTTATGGTGAATCCCCATTGTCAGTGGAAGAGCAGCTATTCACTGTGTTCTCAGTTCTGGCAGCCTTTCACCCACTCTTCCAGCAGCACCGACGCAAAAGGACAGAGTACAAACCGAGTATTTTACGATAATGGATTCCCAAGCAATTCTCTGAACTTATTTCTTTTTCATGCGGGGCTGTAAGTGATTGGGCCCCTGGTCAGGCGGACGGTTGACACTTGAACCTCATGGTTTTTGGAGATAACATTTAAAACAGTGAGGAGAAGCGAAAGGTCTTGAGGAACTGCTGTCAGCCGCAAGAGACTCCGACTCCTCCCGGAAGCAGAAAACGTGCCTGGCACGAGCCAGGTTATTTAAAGAAGAGTGATTAATGAGCGTGGAAATGGCACACGCACGGGTGTACACTTGTACACACTTGCATGTTCATGCACACACACACACACACACACACCCCTGAGCAAAGCGCCGGATCAATTAGAAAAAGAGCAGTTTGAAGATATAGAACATTAATCATGTTCTCCCACCTGAGGAGGAGGAGGAAGGGAGATGAAGAGTGTCTGTATTTCTGTCTTTCTGACACACTGTCTAACTCGCCCCCTCTAACACCCGGCCGCGCTCTCTGTGTCCATGTCTTTTGCCCTTACTGCGCCTCTCTCTCTCTCTCTTTCTCTCTTTCACTTTCTCCATCCCTCTCTCAATATGTCTCCTCTCTCATTAGGTTGTAGCATCTAAAAAGTTGAAGGAGCAGTGCCACAAACTGTTGTGATTCACCACTACGCGCTCTCATTCATGCTAGCCGCTCACAGGGCCTGTTCGTTTGTTTTGGTGCAATTCCCCAGCCTTGCTTGACTCGCTGGAGCAATTAAAATCTCTCCCCTCAAAGGCTCGGCGGACGATCACAGTCGCAGCGTTGCTTTTTTAAAATGAAGATTAAAGGAGAAGAACAAATATATCTTCCTTATTAGTTTCCTCACAGTGTGAACAAAAGTAAAGTGACATTTACTTTGAAAAAGTAAAATGAAATGATTCTGTCGGCGCTGACGCCCTCTCTCTTTCCAGTCTTATCCACAGTCAGGAGAACGACTTATTGATTATTGCTGTTTATGAAAGATCTGTTTAGTTTCAAAGTGCAACTATCAAAACCAAAGAATATACAGAAATGAAGGATATAAAGACATATAGGAAGAATAGATTTAAGTGGAGAGTCAAGATAGTATTAGGGTTGTCACAGTGGCAGTGTCGTGACAGTACCACAGTACCAATATCAATTATAGTATCAGGTGGATACCAAAATGATACTATGGCACAAAATGAAAACCTCGTCATCGTCTGACCACCCAGTGTTATGGAATGAACACAGAAAAGTATTATATTCAAATGCAAATAACATCTCTGATATTTAAATTCAATATTTTTATCATTATTTCAAAAACTCTGCAAATGTTAAAGCAGTCATATCATGAAGTACTGAATTTCCCTTGCTTGGTTGAAATATATAATATGTAAACATTGTTTCTAGGTTCAAAACTCACTGCGCACTCCCTAGGCCATGCATAGGTCATGTATATGAACTAAGCTGCATAAACAGTCCTTTATAAATTATCATTAGCTTATATCCACCTGTTCAGCCTGCAGTCTTTTGGCTCCCTCATTCACTTTTAAGTCATAAGGAGTGTTTCTGCCCAGTAGCCAAATCTTCTTTATCAGTACATGGCACATTCAGTCAACACACAACAATCTCATCTGTCATTTCATCACAATAAATGTGGTAGTAATGTAAGATATCAATTCAAACAGTATGTTTAAAGTTCAGAGATGCTCGTGGGAATACTAGTATCTTGCTATGGTTTGCATTACATAAATCAATTAATGAAATAATGTTGTTTTTGGTCACTGAGGGCTCTTACCGTTGTAACCATCGCCAGGCACAGGCCAACTCCACAGACTGCTTGTTTTAATGATGCACAATGTAGGGCCACTAATCAGAATAAAGAACATTTACAGTGATAACATCAGCCTGTTTAATTCTGTGGTATATAGAGAGGTTAGAAAATGGTCATGCAAAAATGAATTATGACTATTTTTGGTCACACAAATGTTTTAAGTGGACCTTGGGTTGAAAATTATAATACAAGAAACATGTTGGATATGGGCCCTTGAAATAAATCAAGTAATTTAGTAATGTAAACATGGTGTAATATAGGGGTCGGCAACATGCGGCTCTATGGCAAATTAGATTTTTAGGTAAAAATAAAATAATCCTCCTTTGCAGTAAAATAAAGCTCTGCTGATCGATTCTAACACAGTTTTAACAATAAATGGTCTTAAACGCTGGTGTTAATGCAGGCTACAACTGCAAATACACTGACCATTAACCCTGCAACACAGAAAACAATCTCGCCTAGCTAGCAGCTAACGAAAAGGCAAAGAGAGAGGTTTAAGGCAGACATTGATAATTTGGAGACAGATTTCTTTGCATTTACAAGCACGCTGGCTGGTTTCCTGATACGTTTAATCTGCAACGAGAAACTGTCAAACACTTAAAAAGTCCTGAAGCTGAATTTTCACGTTCCACCTTAAATGGTGCAGCAGTTACATTCTGGCACCTCAGGCGCCATTTAAGGTGAAACGGGAAAATTCGAGCAAGAAGCTGGCAAATGAGCAGTGACTTCAGCCTTGTAAAAATCAAACGTTGAGAGACATTTTACAAAAACAATTCCACAAGTGGCTATAGTTGTGCTAAACTTTAAAGCAGAGCAAGTAAGTCTGTGTTTTCGTTTATTATATATTTTTAGCCTATAATAGCACATCAGCACATACTGAGACATATTTACAGCCAAGATGTAAAATTGGATATAAAATGCTGTGGCTCCCAAGGTTTGTTTGGTTCGCTTATAGGCAGAATACAGTGTCTACGTAGTAAAGAACTGGATATGCAGAATAGGGTACTGAATTGTTTACTACATTATAGTACTGAAAAATCACTGAACTTTCAACACATCATGCAGCAGCACAAAACTATGTGCTGTTGCATGCATATCTGAGTATTCCTTCATCAGTGTGTCCTGCCACTTTGTGTATGTCTTCTTCATGTGGCGTGCACAGTTGGGAGTGCTAGGAATTTTTACCTATGAATTAATTAGTGCTTTGATTGTTCAGAGCCTGTCCATTCAATAGCATTAGTGTTAATTGTCTTCATGGGTCAGTGTGTGCAGCCGCTTTCAAGTCTCCTTGCTCTAGGCCAGCGCTGGGCGGCTCCCTGATCAGCCAGCTCTGAGATTGCCCCTGTGTTTTTCAGCTGCGGCTGTTCCGGCTAAATTGGCTGGCAAGTTCAGGTGTGTGTGAAATGATATTGAGCAAGGCGCACTAGACGGGAAGCTCCGGTTCCACAATAACGACCGGATCAATAAACTCAGCCTGCCTCCCCAGACATCGATTCTGGGGAGAAATTAAAAACGTAATTTGCAGGGTAATTATTTGGGACAATGCTTAAGGGATGACCATTGCTTTTGATCACCTCTGGAGTCGGGATTTGTTGCTCTAATTGAACTCCCAAATTGGACTGAAAAAAAAGCAAAGAATTCTTCTATATTAATTTATTCCCTGTTTCTCATTTCTATCCTGCAGGTGTTTGATTGCCGATGAGGTAAGCACATTCTCACATTGTTTTTTTTCCATTTGATTCATGTAATGAGGCGGAGCAGGGTGTAAATTGCACTCTTAAAAATAAAGGTGACTCAGAGGGTTCTCTGGAGTGAACCAAAAGTGATTTTTTATTTTTGACATCACTTCGAAACTCCAAAGAGTTTTCTGTTCCATTCTCTCTGACATTCTTAGAAATCTCTGTTGCCCACAAGGAGATGCTTAAGGTTTGTATTAACATTAGGTTTGGGGTCAATTGACTGTTTGCAAAATTCAGACTGCCGGCTCCCTCTGTTTCTATATTATCAAACTGTAAGCTCAGGCCACCTGGTAGCATCTGTAGCACTTTTGCTAAGAGGCTAAAATGTTCAGTAAAGCAAAGGAAAATGTAGAAACATGCTGATGAGGACATTTGAAATTTGGCTTTTTTAATTTAAAGAAACGTGGCTTTAAAGATGCAGGCACATCTGTTTTAGAATTGACAGAATATAAATGTACTACAATTTAAATCAAAAATTCTGGAAACCATGTTTACATTAATCAAACCAGAGAACTCTTTCAGTCCCTCGATGTTAAAGCAGTAGGGTTAATAATCAAAAGGAGAAAAAAAAAATTAACATTCTATGAAGTTATTTATCATTAGACATCATGGTAAAATTAGTGGTAGAGGATGTAGTAAACCAAATGAAGTTTTGATTACCTTAGCGAGTCTGTTAATAGTTTTGACACTGAGCTGTGAGTGTGGTCTTCCACATATTTTGCTCCAAAATTAGGGATATACCAAAATTCCGACCACTGAAAATGGTCAAAAATGATACTGTTAATATAGACTTAATAAAGACTTTATGTATAAGACTTTATAAATAAGACTTGGTCAGTGTGAATGCATTTGAACAGTTTCAGCAGCAGAGTATGTGATATTGGAGGTTTAATATTTAGAATCTCTGTTTGTGTCAAGTATCAAGAGATACAACACCCAAGATCTTCTCCATTACAGGCTTTATACTAATTGAAAACTCAATATCCTGCTCATTACACAAAATACAGCAAAACCACAGAAGCAGAAGGGCTGGTCCCCAGTAGCATGCTAATGCCATCTGGATGACCAACCATTCTCCATTGTGTGTTGATTTTGTGGTACATACTGTAAAAATTCTGTTGTGTTCTATTGTGCTGAATGTGACTTTTAGTTTCAATTCTGGCCAAAAATTGCAACCCCTCCCCCCCCATCTCTTAGTCTAATACTTCTGACTGATTCATTATTATTCTATCGTGAGTTTTGTCAGACTTGGACCTTTGCCTGACAGAGGAAGTAGCACTAGGACAGTTGTGATTGGCTGAGAGGCGCGTCAGTCATGATTTTGTAAACAATCGGTTCCATTTAATTTTTCTCAGTTCAGTTTCAAGCCAGTCAGTTCAACTGATGAGCTAAAGCTAAACACAATTTAGCAGATTTTACAAATAATTTACAAACTTAATTCACCCTTTAAGCTGACTTTAATTGTTTCTGAATTGATTTTGTGTTGTTGGAACTGATTTCAACCCAGATTAATGGTGACCATCGAAATGAACAAGATCTGATTTGAAATGAAACCTGCATAGACATAGTGATCCAGTTTTGTTCAGTCTTGTGTGTACTGGACGGTGTTTCTGGGCTCTGCTGTAGATGGGCTTGGGGAAGACTGTGCAGGCCATCTCGGTGGCGTACCTTTACAGACAGGAATGGCCTCTACTCATCGTGGTGCCATCCTCGCTGAAGTACCCCTGGATTGAGGAGCTAGAGCGCTGGGTGCCTGAGCTCATGCCTGAGGACATCAACCTGGTTGAGAGCAAAGCTGACATTACGTACGCTTTTCATTTTTTTTTTACTCCTTAAAGAAATAGTAGTGTAATTTTGTACACAAATCTATGGTTTACATCAAGAGAGGAGAAATTTGGCAAATACATCAGCCATATATTGTGTGCTCACAAGAGCAAAGGTAACCTATTTTTAAGAAAACACTTAGGGCAAACTTCAGGCCTCAAGATGGCTGCTATGCCTGTTTTTAGCTGTGCAGTATACTTTTACATACTGTTATATATAAAAATGGGTAGTGCGTACAGAAGTAGTGTCCTCACCGATCACAAGGCTGATGTAGGTTGTCCTGACCGCACAGCTTCAAAAAACCAAAATTAGCCGAATGTATATTGAGCAGTAAATAGAATAAGAATCATAACTTTTTAAAATGTTGCCATTTAAAACCTGGATAATGTTTTAATGAGTGGACACAGTGAGGGTAGTCTGCAACATCACCTGTATGCAAAGCTCGTTTCACTGCTAGCGCTGTTGTGTGTAGTTCTGGTTCAGTGGCGTAGCAGGCTGGGAGCTGTAGACTGAGGGGTGTCAAGCACGCATTCTCATCAGAATATAATGGCTATGCCCAGGCAGTTCTCAGATAGATCTTATAAGCATTTTATAAGCCATATTTTTCTATATTTGTCTTGTTTTTTTCATTCAAACCTTGGTGGATATTAAATATAACACAATTTGCATTTCGCACAGCCGTTTTTACTCATTTACACCATAATCCCTAGGATTTTAACTATTTTGTTTCAGGCGAGTGTGATTAATTGGGCATGTGGTTTGCATGATGGTAATAGGTGGCCACAAGATGCATTGTCTAATAGTAAAGCTGAATTGAAAAGATCAGGAATTCTGCTCTTCACACTGGGCAAAACAGGCACAGCGATTTAGTTGTCATCATAGGTGGCCTGTTATGGTGTGTCATTTTAAACATGGCGAATTGAAACAAGTTCATCTGAGGTCACTTTGGCTGTTGCTGAAAGGCAGCTTTCTTATATTGCCCAGTTTGAGCTTAGCCGTTGCAGTATGACTGGTGATGCCTCTCATATTTTCAAGAAGATCTGTTCTGTCCTTTTTTTAATGCCGTTCAGTTTGAGCTGTGGCTTTGTGTGGAGACCGGGGCCTGTTATGACTAATAGGTACTGCAAGTTGTTCTACAGCAACCCAAACTAATCTGTCGGAGAGTGGGAGAGTGAGGATCTGAAATCTTCCTGGGCTGCTGAGGTCAGCCAGCAAAATTCATGCTGCTGCCCAGTGGCACGGAACCTTCCCACCAGAAGCATTACACAGAAACTAAAAAGCCTTTTAAAACATTTAAGGGAGCTGACATTCAGCGGGAGTGCTGTGCTGCGTTCGGCAAAAGCCCGGGCTCTTCTGCCTGGGTGACGGCTGGATGGGCAAGGCGAGGCGAGGCATGCAGGCATGGGGTCACGTTGTCTTTTTGCCCGTTATCGATGCTTCTAAAAAGAGCTTCACAAATTGGTCTGCTCATCCCGAGGATCTCAGCCCAGGGTCGAACTGACCCGCGCCTCGCTGCCATGGCAACAACTTCCCGATGGCCTCGTAGCGCCGCGTGCGATGTTTTAACTCTGATGGCCTACAGGACAAACTCAGTGCAAACACCGCTTTTAAAAAATGACCAGTGTTATGAGAATTGTCATAGGAGCCGATGGAGCTGAGACATAGCGGTACTTTGGTTGAAAAGGTTATTTAGTGAACTGGCTGTGCTGAATGTAAAGTGTAGTAAAGTTTTTTGAAAGTCATTTGTGTTATTTTTCAAAGTGGTTATGCGTGTGGGAGTTTATGCGTATCAATGAATTTTAAAGGAATAGTTAAAAATGTGCACCACTTTTCTAATCAGTCAGTCAAGGCAAGTATTCCTCTTTTTACCCAGTCCAAGTCTTAAGACTCTGGACCCATGAACTCTGGTCTTACAGACACCAGACGTACATTTTGTGCTATTCATTGAAGTGCTCAATGTCGTCATGCTGACTTTGCAAGGCCGCAGGGCTGCAAGCTTATGAAAAGCATTAATGAGAGGGGACTTCAGCTCGACTCACTTCTATTGTTGATACTGATGTCAACAAAATACAAAAATCTGCACATTTGCACATTAATTATTTATAACATACATATGAAAACCTTCTTCATTTGTCTGTCCAAGTCAAGATACAAAGTCAAAATCTTGTGAAAAGAATTATTTAGACATAGATGGCTAGAAATCAAAATATTGAAATCAAAATATATAACATTTTCTCCTCCAGTTGGTGTACTTTACTTTATGTATTTATTTTTTGCTTTCTTACCCAAACTAGCTAACAATACCATGATTACTACAATGACCTTATTTTGGAATTTGAGGGGGCAGGGTTATTGAAGTATATTTACGTTTCCTTTCTGTGTCGTTTTAGGGGGATCAGCCAGAGCAAAGTGACAGTGTTGGGCTATGGACTGCTCACCACTGACGCAAAGCCACTATTGGAAGCCCTGAACAAGCAGCGTTTTGGCGTAGTCATTGTGGACGAGTCACACTACCTGAAGTCCCGTAATGCAGCACGCACCAAGATCCTGGTGCCGGTCATCCAGAACGCGAAACATGCAATCCTGCTCACGGGAACTCCAGCACTGGGCAGACCAGAAGAGGTAATGTCCATCTGAAGGAGGTTCACTGTTATGCTGCAGGTGTCTAGGTAACATAGCTGTGTTCTAGTTCCTATTGGTGGTCCACTGCTTCAATTTCTGAATGACTGATTCATTATACATTCCAGATGACATAATTGCTTGTTCACTATAAGAGCGCCGATCACTCCCTTGCTTTAGTCTGTGTGGAATCTCAGACTGTTTTCTAGCACTGTATGACATACTGTTATCTAAAGCTGCAACTGTTCAGTATTTTCATCTTTATTGTCTGGAATATTCAAATATTCTGTAAGAATAAAAAAAGCTCAAGACATTTTAATCAGTGATTTTACTTTCTTCTTCTTTGTTGTTGTTATTAATATAAATGTTTGTTTTTTTGTAGTCTAGGAAGTGAACAGGGGAGTGATCAAGGTTTTAAGCAGGAAAAAAAATGATGCACACTTGCTAAACTAACCTACGCTGAGTTTAATGCCAGGTGCAGTCTGTTTTACCTCCTGCTCTA